TGGCACCGAAAGAAGAAATTGTCTTTCAAGCTCGTGGTTCTTCAGTTTACCAAGGCAATTTCAATAATTGGGCACCAAAATTAGCCATTAACGGGCAAATTTCGAACAGTGATGTTACTTTTTTCCACTCGAAATGCGAGATGAATCCATGGCTAGAGGTGAAGTTCCCTTCCCCTGTGCTAATCTCGGCAGTGACCATTATCAACCGTAAGAACAGCTGTTGGAATAGGCTAGTAAATGTGGAGATCAGAGCTGGAATGGCTCCTGTCCCTGACGGTTTCACAGCCCAGGAAAGAGGAACCGATGCTAACAAGATGCTGGAGGTCAACTCCAGGTGCGGATTCTTTGCCGGTCCACCTCACGGGTTTGTAGAGGAGGGACATGTCATCTTCTTTGACCGGCCAATTCTGGCACAGTACATCACTCTGCAGCTTCTGGGGGCTGGATATTTACAGATTAATGGCCTCAAAATTAACGGAGGTGACTTACTAAATTATGATAACCGTTTCCGATTGATTTAACTGTACCGGCATCTTCGTGACAGAAATTAATTTTTAGAAATCAGACAATGTTATTGATGATAATTCAAACTTCAAAGAGCAAGAAAAGTGCCAATTAGTTTTAAATGAAGATTAGAGATTTTTAAAGAACACAGGAGAATTTTTTAAGGACGTCCGAGCGAAAATCTTAAATACCTAGATTTTTTTCCTAGCTGTACTTTTGTGGTCAGATTAAGAATTGAACTATCAAATAGAACTGCATGGTGTCTGTATTGCGTTACAATGTGCACTATACTTTTCAGTGGGAAAGGAAAGTTCATTTAAAAACATGTGATTTTTTGTTTCATTTTTCATCGACAAGAAAATAAAATGTTCTATTCTGGTAATTTTGTTTCAACCCGTATAAGAGTTACACAGTGCAGATTACACAGAGCCAAGAGTAGATAGATATCAATGGTTCAGCTTTGTTTATTGAGTTTTACTGAGTTGCTAGCTCTGTTTATTGAGTTTTACTGAGTTGCTCCTTTCACATATCTTTGCAATGAGAATACACTTGCATTATGATGGCTATATTTAAATTTCAAAGAAACCTGTTGTAGTCCAGGGCCATCCATATCAAAAGGCATCTGGCAAAGTTAAGTCGCCTTCACAACCGCTTGCACCGGAGTCACGCACGGGAAGTGTTGCGTGACTCCAGCGCGAGTGGTTTCAAAGGAGACTACGCGAAGTGCGAAGAGTGCATCCACCTACGACATTGAGTTTCCTGTTTTTCCGGCATAAGCTATCTTTCTCCATTAGCACATCAAGGGTATCACGTGATAAAATCTGGAATGAAGGAGGCGCGAAAGGCTAGGAACTGGATACGACGGCCATGCGCGAGCAACCTCGTTCCCAGGGTCCCTCATCTTACCGCCCTCCTCTTCCCTCCTCGCTCGGGAGGGCTGGAAGATGGAAGAGCCTAGGAAATGAGCTTGATGCGCACGCTTGGCCTGTAGATAACTTGAAATATGCGCTGGATCATTTCAAAGGCAAGCACCCCAAGGCGAAGCTATGGCTGTTAATATCTACATGTATCTATTATCTTCTATCTTTGCGATCACCGTCGTGATTTCTATCGCGTCTTTCGTATGTCCTGCCTTCATCTTCTGTACGGTCTCTTAGCTTATCAAATCTATCCTTCCTTTTTTCGTCAACCTCTCGGTCTTTATCGTGACGTGATGCGTGATAAGCCCTGTCCGTTTGCTCTCTCGGGTCATACGTTGAGTGATAATCGTGATTGTGACGTTCACTCGCACCACCAGAATCACGTTCACGATAATCACGAAGACGCGTTTCACGATCGCGTTCATGAACATCACGATCACGCGTTTCCTTATCACGCTCTCGAATGTCTCGTACATGATTTAGCGCTTCACGGTCACGTCCACGCTCATGCACATCTCTACTTGCGTCACCATCTTTAAAATCACGTTCCCCACGATCACGCTTATTATCACGCGTAACTTTCAAATCTTGAGAATCACTGTCACGCTGTACACCTCGGTCAGTCCTATCACGTTTGTCCTTCTCAGTTTGGCTTGCTCTAGCAGGCGCTTTTTCTCTCCACGGCTCCTTTTCAAGCTTTTTCCTTTTTTCTGCGGGATCTTCCTCGCCTGAGCTGACCGTCGTTTTCTTTTTCTTTGGCGTTTTCTCATCTTTGTGTTTCTTTTGTTTCTTTGCTTTCTTCTCTTTTTTCCTTTTCTTTGGCAGCTCCAGTAATTCCTCTTCCTCATCAGAAGCCGGTGGTGAAGGTGACGGTGTCTTTGGTGCGCAGCCTTCCTCAATAATCTCCTTCCTGTTTCCGTGCTCGTCCTTCTCATCTCCTTTGGGTCGCCGATAATTAGCACAGTGATCCACTCGGATGATCCTGCCGCCAAGCTTTGAAAGCACATCCAAAATACTGCCATTACTTATGAAATCTGAACTACAGTTTCATTTGCTAATAAGTGACATTCGAAAAATCAACGGTAAATTCCAGTTATATTCAATCGTCAGTAGCCCCCACCCAACCACCCAGCCCACCATCACCAAAACTCAGGATTTTTGAGCTGGATTATTTCTTTGTCCTTACCTCTTAGAATCGACCAGTGCTTAGAGACCGATTATGATCATTCAGCACTGCATTAAAAACATAAACTACTCCTCTACGAATTTGAACACACTTTGAAAAGTCTTAATGATACTAATAATTAATATCGTTACGACTTTTCATTGTGTGTTCAAATTAGAATTACTCTATTCTCTTTTGCTACCCTCAGCTGAATAGAAAACATTTCTTTTATAAGGGGGACAAATGAATATTATACAACAAATAGTTGAGAGAGCCGCCAGCAATCGATTATATTCACAAGAAACTGAGACACGGCTGAATACGGGTTACAAGCCAGGGAACAAACATAAAATGTTACATGCTTTTTCTCACAACAATAGCAAATTGTAATAAAGAAAATTAGCCTATAATTATGCATGCATGTATAGCAGGAGCCTGCTGTATTAATAAAAATATTTTATCAATTTCAAGTCTCTCTGGCATGTCAGAAGCACTCAAATCAGTTTTACCCTCCTCAGGGGGTGGGTTGTTAACAAGATTTCATTCTTGTAAGCAACCAGCTCCATTTACAACCCCTTTTTTCATATCCTTGAGGTGGTTGCTTATAAAAGCTTTGACTGCAGATTGATAGAGATCCTAACCTTGATGCCATTGAGGTTGTCCACAGCCAAAATAGTACTACGTTGGTCTTCATAACACAAGAAACAAAATCCTTTTGGTTTTCCAGTTTTCTTGTCTCTGACTAGATTTACATTTACTATTTCACCATATCTGTTGATAGAAAAAGTTATGTGAAAATCAAATATTAGGACGGTTCTTGTTCACAGGCGACCTTGATCCTGGACATTGACTGTGCTTAAGATACGTCAAGCTAAAAACTCACCTTTTCCGTCATGCATTTTTATCATAGTTGTTTTCATTATTGTAAGTTTGCCTTTAATTGTAATTTAAGCTTTTTAAAATCATTGTAAGTTTACTTTTAATTGTAACTTTAGCTTTTTAGCCTTTATATTCCGTTTTTAATCTTGTCATGCACATTTGAACATTTTATGAAATTTGCACATTACAAATGTTATCAAAATCGAAATTGAAAGTGAAGAATGATCATCCCAGTTAATTTTCCAATTTAAGCAATTGGAAAGAAGAAGCCTGAAAAAATCAGGGCTTCAACGGAGTTCATATATGAATTATTTGAAATTAAGATAGACCTTCTATATATTGTGACAAATACATTGTCTATTTACAAACAACTTGATATTGTAATGCTAAACTTACTGTGAAAAAACACACAAGACGTCACCTTCTGTAAGGTCGTAAGGGAGTCCACCTGTCAAGAAGAAATGACACATTTAGTATGTGTAATACTTATTAATACACATGAAAACGTGAGTTATTGTTTCTCTTAACTCAGTTCCTGTAAGCCAGAAAATGCAAAATTGACCACATTGCATTCTTTATTTAATATCTCAACAACTATTTATAGTAACATAGTATATAATTTTGAGCTAACTGTAAAATTACTTTCTTACTACTTGAAACACCTCTCGGATTGTCTTCAGCCTCGGGAAAAATCAGTTTGTAACTTTCACTGAGAACTTGGAGGTGTGAATTTCCCATTGTTTGGTACCAGTTACATGAACATGAATTTGATTGTAATTCTCACTTGTTTATTGCATAATCTATGTTTGTTTGATTGGCCATTGTATTTGCTTTGGTTTTGGTTTTACCAAGCTTTATTAAGAACTGTTCAAACACCAACTTCTATGGCTGGCCTCGGGGATGGATATGGGATTTTAGAGGGGGTTTGACAGGGTTTTCAAATTTAGCCAGCACCCAGCGCAAGTCACCGGCTACTTCAAGCATTTGCGCCAGGTACTTTTCGTATTCCAACTTTTACCAATGTAATTGTAAACTGATCTTTTCGTGGAAATATATATATGCTAACAGATGAAAAAAATAAATAAAGAGTGCGGCTACTATATGTACCTTTCGAACCAGTTTCAAATTTCGCAGCAAGAGCATTTTTTGGAGAAATTCTGCTTGTGTGCACGGACTGTCATTGGAATGTGCATGTATCAGCACGAAGATTTCTTCTCACATGCACAGTTTCCAAGATGAAGCGGAGGCAGCAAACGATGCTGTCATTTCTTTCCACAGCCAAGAAGTCACAAAGACAAACAGGTAAAAGTAATTTTAGGAATCAGAGTTAACAAATATTATGTGTTGTCCCAGTTCTCAAAATGACGATAAAACAGTCCGCTTAAGCTGAGGTGACCACAGTATGGATGGCTGTAGCCACGTTTGTGTGGTGAACGCGAAGGGAGTCTTCCTTGTGAAATGTTACTCATTACGGTCTTGATTGTACCAAATGTATTTTAAATGAAAGGTTGAAAGAATTCTTAACAATGAAACCCTTCAACAACACGAGTGTTCAGAATTTTAGACAAACAAACTGTAAATTGCAGCAAATTGTTGGAATCAATGTAGAAACAAAATGAGACCACTGACTTTGTTGTGATACTTTATGTACGTAAAAGGAGATATCACGGAAATATTACGTTAATTCTGTTGATTCATTTGCAGCTCTCTTTCTACTTTTTTTTAATTTGAAAACCCTGATTTGAGAGACTGACTACAGATGGTGGTCCCCTGAAGAAATTGAAAATTGTTAAAAATTGTCTTGGGGCATCCTCCCCAGGAAAATTTTTAAAATTTGAGGAAATGGGATTTCTGTCATTCTGAGGCAAACTCAGCGTGTTTTTATGTCTAATTTTTCTTTTTTTACATTTAGGGGGTTAGACCAAACCCCCTGAACCCCCAGTAGATCTGCCCCAGGGCCTGTTCGACAGTCTTACCAATGAAGACGTAGGCACTATCTTTGTATTGTTTGTGCCAAGCTTGACTGTCTTCCACTCCCATCTCCAACATTCGTTCATTCATTTTCTGAATGTTCTTTACGTTTCTGCAAAATACACCCAGTTCATATGTAAACTAAAGCTACGACAGAAAATTACGGCTATCACGCGTGGTGTCACAGTGCTAATCGTGACAACGCAAAACATCAGCGTCATAAAGTAGAACACGGGTAGAAGCTCAAAGCAAGTTCAATATAGTTACGCTTATATTCTGCAATGACAGAAGTCTTCAGTGGAATTGATTGCTTTTTGGCAAAGAAAAACAAGTCACAGAAGGAATCATTACTTACGTTAACGGATTCATGTCTGTCTCTGAGCCAACGCTAGCTTCAATTTCGTCAAAACAACGAATATGTTTCTGATGTTTCTAACAATTTGACAAAATGGCGCCCGTTTTTACCACTGACCAAGATTTCGCGGACTCAGCCACTACTTCATAAGGTAAAGATAGCCATATTTGGCACTATAATGTTCGAAGAGCCTTGCGTGACTCAAGGCCTGGAAAATTATCCAAACTCGAATTTACACCCTCAAACCTGTCTCAAAACTATGCAAAAAAGTACTTGGACTGGAGGTCATACATCGTCTGTGTTATCTTTAGACGTGAACAGAGAAGGTATTTTAGCTTCAGGTGGAGAGGATGAGCTGTGTATCTGGTCAAAGGATGGTACATCTCAAAGCAAACTTCCGTTTACTTCATATCTGTCCGGTGACTGTGACACCAAAGAAGTAAACAGCGTTTGCTTTTGTGTGAAAAACCCTGAACGTTTATACGCTTCTTGTGGGAACAAAATATTAGGTTATGACCTGAGAAATCTTGCCTCTACCGTTTGCGAATTTCAGTTCAACGAGGATGAAATTAACCAATTGGCCATTCACGACAAGGGAACGTTCCTTGCCGCCTGCGATGACAGCGGTGAAATTAAAATAATAGATGTGGCATCAGGAAGATTATTTAAGTCACTGCACAACAAAGACGATAACATTTGTTCGACTGTTCAATTCAGGTCTAACAGACCTTGGGAAATAATTTCCGGGGGCATGGATTTCAAAGTTGTCAGCTGGGACTTTTCCTCTGGAAGACCTCTTCAGGAATTTAATGTTCAGGAACTTGGAGGTGACAGTCAAGAAGGGGCCTATTTCATCAACCCACCATTTGTTCACTCCATTCACATGGCAGGAAATGGGAGAATGTTTGTGGCTGGATTAGGTATCAACAAATTTACGTTGATGTAAATAATTTTTCCTCAACTTCCATAGGGTTTTCTTCTGGGCACTTGTATTATGGGGTAAAGGATTGTTGGGGTTGCTTTAAAGGTACAGTTTAGAGCCCAAAGTATCTTAATAATGAAAAAAATAATAGTTAAGACTTAATTTATTCTGGTAAAAGTAAAGCTGGTCAGTCAATCAACAAAGATTGATTGACTGGTATGAATCAATGACCAGTACATTGACAAAAATACTTGCAGCTAATTTACAAAAATATCAGTTAAAATCTAGAGAAACCTAAGCATTACTCGTACAAATATGACTGGCGCTGTCCATGTTCATCAAGTAAGTGAAAGTGTTCTAAGCTCAAGTATCTCTCTTGGCAGTTTGTTCCAGGCACTCGCAGCTGAGAATTTAAACGACGCCTGTCCACCGTTGGTCTGAACTGGTGGTAGATCTAACGATGTTGGATCCCTGAGGGATTGACGGTGTCTTTGTGATTGTTTTACTAAGTAACCTGCCAACTGCTTAGGGCAGTTACTGTTCCCAACTCAGCACATGTATGTCATGAATTTTGCTCCTCAGCTGCCCATATGATGTACTGGGTATGTCAAAATTTTAAGACACTCAGTCAAACTCCCTGCACACCAGAAACAACTTTTATCAGCATCTGAGATTTGTCGGGCTACAACATCTTGTTTTGCCCTTTTTTTCTTTTCTTTTTGGCATACAAAGGTTCTCACAGCTCCAAAATTTTGATTTCAGGCAATGGGAGCATCCAACTTTTCAGGTTTGAAGGAAAGAAGAAATTTGTTCCTGACGAGTGTCTGAAAAAACATTCCTCCAGTGCATCTCAAGTCCACTTCCCTAAGTTTAGTCCAAATGACATGCTAGTGTCAGGTGGAGATGACTGTAGAGTTGTTCTATGGAATCTAAGTAGCGGCCAGTGCAACGGGACATCGGTTGCAGAGAACATTGCAAAAGAAGCCAGTTCTGTCTGTGTTGTCCATGAAGTCCAGCATGGATCAAAGATTAACTGGATTTCATCTAGTTCACCGACACAAAATATTTTTGTGGCCGATCTAACAAATGATATATCTGTGTACTGTGTGACATGAAGATTGACTTCAATTTACGTTAATACAAAAAATGACACACTTCAGATTGAAAACAGTTTTTAGGATTTATTACCACATGGTACCTTGATTTGGAAATTGTGGAGAAAACAATCCGCTATTCTGGTTTTCCCACAACTGACAAAATCGATTTAAAAAAATGCAGGATAATAGCCTTGTACATAACGCTACAAATAACGCTTTCATTTAAATGGTCATGTACTAGGGCTTTCACAGCATACTTGTAATGAACAGCACCACATAAATATACTCCATAGTATTCACATGAATGAACAACAAAGGGGCAAAGCTGCATGTCTGGGTTTTCTTGGACGAAGTAAACTGTTGTTAATATCAGTGTCTGTATTATGGAGGTCTCTGTAAAGGTAGGTTCAACTGTTAAATCGCTTCCCCTTGAATGGTTATGCACTAGGGTTTCATCGAGTCTCCAGACTACCGTAACTTAGAACTAGGTACCATAAACAGTACCATGTGAAAATCTTGCGTAACAGCGATCATTTGAATGGTCACACAGTAGGGTTTCATCCGTGGTCTTTCAAAAGAACCTTCGAGTCCTACCCTGGGAGTGAAACTGAAAATCATGAAACTCAAATTCCTTCCAATCTTAAGTGGGCAATTACCACTATTAGACATGCCTGCAGGGAGTCATGGTAGTTCTATTCATCATCTTAGACTGGGTTTTTTTTTCATCAATACAACTACCATGATGCCCAAAGGCACATTTCATAGAGGGAGGACAACAATGCTGTTGGCAAATGTACTTTATTGTCCACATGATTAAAGGAACAATGTTAATATCAAAGTCTAGTTTTCACATACTTCAACTATTTCGTTGGCTTGTTGGAAGGTCTTTGGGAGAAGAGGATGTTACTTTATAGACGTTTATACATCATAAGAGAAGTGAAAATTTAACCTTCAGAGGTCACAGTGTGGTTAAAATTTGAACTGTTACAGAAACAATAGTCTCCATTTCACATGGAAATATGCTTGGGCATTTGTCCATGGACATCTGTTCCAAGAAGCGAACAGTTTTCTGAGAGCGTAGCTCGAGGAAAACTGTGAGCTTTGAGGAAAAGATAATGTCCAAGGACAAATATCTGAGCATATTTTTGCGTCAAATGGAGGCTATTGTGTTTATCATCCTTCAAATATTTTTTGGAACATGCGCAGTTTTGAAAATTGGGAAATATCACTAAGATACTCCCCAATATCCGGTGTAGCATGCATGTGGTTCAATCAGGAATGGTTGTCACTGTCGAAGTAAGTATAAGCATGAAGCATAAAACTTAGGAGGACAGCAGTAAAAAATGTAAGCACAAGCAAAATAAGAACAAGAATATTCTTGTGTTGCTCTCACTTAGAAATATAGTGGCACAGGTATTTAGGCATGACAGCAAACGGTTTGTTTTCTTTGAATGACCAAAACGGATCAATGTCTGGTTGCACTCAAAACGCATGTGAGAATTTGATGTACAGTAAAATGGTCCACACCTTTCAGATGCAAAGCACATTTTGGTATTCTGGGGAAAGAAGTTTGAAAAGGGTAAATGTTGGAGAGAAATGGGAAAAATTGTTAATTGTAAAGATGGAGGAAAAACACTAGTAGAATTACTCAATAGCCCATTTCCAAGTTCCTTAAGCCTCTCTATCAAAGTGAGGCCTGGTGCACCATTCATATGATTGAAAATGAGTTAATTCCCACGTGAATGAAATTTCATTTTCATATGAAAGGATAGGCATGAAGACTCATTTTGAGAAAGAGGCTAAAGGTAGTTCGGAAATGGCCTATCACTTCCATCACATTCAAACCAGCTGTTCATTATTTGTTTGTTTATTATGGGCTACAAGGTACCCATTATTGCACTTTTCAGGACTCTACCTGAGGTGCTGTACAATATATCATAAAAGAAAGCTAGCTCTATGAAGGCTTTAGAGCTTAGCTCCAACATGCTAACACGTTAGAGCATGGTACACATGGTAGAAACCCATTTGGTGCTATAAGATACAAATTCAAATTAGTCCCCATAGCAACAAAATGGCATAAAACCTCTACATTACCACTTTCGGTTATCAAACCAAAACCAAAGAATACTGTAATGCTATCAAAATTAATTCATTCTCTTTGGTTTCATATCTTACTACTCCAGCTGATAAACATCACTAAATATTCTACGGTATTATTTTCATCTGTGTTTGTTTCGCTTCGTGAAATGCTGTACGTACACGTTTGGACATAACAAGTGACTATTCCACATTCTTTTAGAGATTCTGTAGCTCTCTTGTATCAATTAACTTGGTCCTATCTGCATTGAAAAACAACTTTAAAAGCCTCACACAAACCAAGAGTAAATAACATCAGGCATCACTCATGATTAGCCAGTAAAAATGTACAAGATTCAACGTTTACTGCAGTCCAGAACTAGAATAAATCATGAATCTCACATGATAATGCCATTATAGCTGACACTGTCAACTCCACACACTCATACACATGTATTTTTAAAACGTCCTTAAAAATCAGTGATGTGAATTCGTCTCATCAGTGTCCATAAATCCATCTTGCGATAAGTCAGAAGATGCGTCTGAAGCTGGAGAAGAAGGAAAGGAATATGGAGACATGGTTCTATGTGAGGGGCCACTGTCACTTGCCATTGAGGATGTCCTTGATGTGCGATTCTGTGTCCTTGAGTTGGTGGTTGCCATGGGCAAAGGTGAAGTGACATGCCCTTGAGATAGAGGAGTGGCCAGTGGTGATGAGGGGGTGTTTGGAGCAGGAAGAGGTGACATTCGTGCTGTAGCTGAAACCAATGGCGAAGCTGAAGAACCTGATTTGCTACATAACAAGAAAAACAAACTAATGAAATCAGAAGTTACAAGACTGAAGCACAGAAAAAGGTAACTACTGTTTCACCATCATATTGGCCCTTAGAACAGAACCAATAGTTGCTGAAGGTAATGCCAGATGGGTTGAAATGAGCCGACACAAGGAAAAGTCTCTACCACTGAACTTTCAGCATAGGTTGTCCACTAATGCCCACCACCTGACCCTATTTTGAGCAGTGCATTTTGCTTTGCTTCTCACAAAGAAGTGCAGATCAAATAGTTTTGCCAGTTACCCTCCTGCTGATAACGTTAACGAAACCCCTAAACTTCAAAAGAGAAGGAAATACATAGAAATGTCTTGGTCACTCCTTGTAGCAGTGCTCTGGTGGCATTAGCAGAAGAGTTCTGACCTGGCATTCCTAGGGGATGTATAACAGAGGAAGTCTTCAAAACACCTGGAGATGTTCCCTCAACTAGTACCAATAAGAGAGTACTATGTGTACACTTCTATGTGTACTGCCACTGCTCTTCTCAGTCAATTTAAATGATTGGCATTGCATGGTGAAGCAAAATCTTACTTTACATTGCAGGGCTGTCATTGAGTTTTGAGTCAACTGTCGCCTTGATCTTCACACCCGTAACAAACTTGTTACCTTTTAGGTGAATTGTATCAACTATAGTCCAGTTCACCCATAACATAAAGGGCTCATCAAACATACTCAGCCGTAGCGGGTGTGACAGGTTACGGCCCTTAATGACAACCCTGCGTTTTGTTCTCGAAAGCATGTTTAATTATCTTTTGCAGTTTCAAAGTGATTTCCTTTGTTTCAACATGCTCCAAATTTAATGTAACAGCCAAACTCTTCCATGAAAATAGAAACAATGGTGGTTGACTGGGGCCTTTTAAGACAGTGCAATCTACTCCTACTGCTGTTGAACTACATCACATCAGTCTTAACTTACTTGGGGGTGGTGTGATTGCTGAGGACTCCACCAAGTCCAACTGGACCTGACTTTGCCATATCTTGGGAAAAAAAAGACACAATCAAATTGAATTTCTTTTTACGGGCAAAATGACTTAATCAGAGATGGGGCCTAACTCCAGTAATTGTAGCATGAAGAGGCCAGGAGAATTGCTACCAATGTTTGCCTGGCATGTATTTCCACTTCAGCCAACCAGACTGAAATTTCCCATATGAACAGACAATAAAATTTGTCCTCAGCTGGTAACTGTGCTAGCTCGGTTACCTGGCTCATATGAAGAGATCCCAAATACCTCTTTCACTTTAGTTCTTTCACTTTCACTTTCACTTCACATTATTTTATCCTACATTGTAGATGCTATCATGAACCGGTCATAAAAGTAAACTACAATGCATGATTTACAAAACTACCTCACAAACTTACCCATAACATAAGGTTCAAGCGCCTTAGGAACCATTGTTCTTGAGGCTCTAAGGTTTGCCTCCGCACATTGCCCTTTCTCCAAACCAAATGCCATTCCCATTCTTTTTAACACCTCAATATCATCATGGATTTCAAATGTGTTATCGAAGTTGAACAGATACTCAAATCTGTGAAGCAATTTAAGTAGACAATGATTATTTTCATACATGTATAGTTGGGCAACCAAGTAAACAAATGCCTCCATTTGAGTACTAGTTTCTGAACACTTGCAAGAGATGTCCAGGCTTTTAAGAGCAAAACAAAACGCAAAAAAACAAAAACAAAAACAAAAAACAGATTGATCATATATGCACTACAGCCTCTCTTAACCACTCAAAGAAATTATGCTCACTAATTAACCCATTGACGCCTGTGCCGCCCGTAACCGCCCGTGCGAAAAACTCCTCCATTTCCCTGTGCCGCCCGTAACCGCCCGAAAAAAAGCACGTG